CCGAAAAGAGTAATATAACCATTCCAATGACTCTGAAGCTGATCGGTTGAGGTAAAAAACCTGCATAGGTCACCTTTAAAGCGAAATCGAAGAACGAACAGATGTGACATAATTTCGAACAAAATTAGGCCGAAACGAAGTTTGTTTTGGGTGTTCGAAACAGCTTGCCAAAGCGAACTTTCTGGAAAAGTTCTCTCCGGCTGCTAAACACCTTCATACTACCATTGGTCCATGGCAATTACGTAATAGATAGGTGTGTGTGGAGACTCCGCCTTCTTTCACATGAAAATCTTTTCTGGTTCATTTGGCTTGTTCAGGCGGTCGAGGTCAGATGTCCGTGAGTGAAAACATGAACACACTGGAGAGCAGCTTTACAGTAGAAAATGAAGTTGTACATCTGATGAAACAAGACACTAGCTCTGTTTTTCATGTTTAATATGGCAAAGCTGCTAGATTTTAAGCTATCTATTGTATAAAGTGCTATATAAATAAGCGTGACGTGACTTTACTGGAGTGCCGTAGAGCTTGTGCAAACATATCCACTATGCTATGACCAGATACTTTTCTTATGCTTTGTTAAAATGCTTGCTGTTTTCTCAATTTAGTTGTGTGTTTATTTTGTTATTGAGAGAGAGGAAAGCGCACAGCACAGATTTACATATTCATCTAACCGTCGCTCTCAGCCGCGTGTGCGGCTTCAGATGTTTTGATAACAGTATCGCTGCTCGTGTATTTCGAACGCCGTTTTACGGTTTTACCCCTAAACAAAATAACTTTGCCTTGAGAATATCGGGGCCTTTCGGTTCAGTTCACACACATTGAAGCTTGTTCTCTCTCATCTGTGGATTTTATGTGATTTTTCCATTCCGGTGTTCCAAAAAAAGAGCTGAATTGTCTTTCTGTCATGGACTTGAATGTGGAAGATGCTTTAGTGACGTTTATATGTGTAACACTTTTTTCAACCCTAGTAGCAGAAATTTCATTATACTTTTTTTTAATGCTTTTTCCCCACAAATCTGAGTACATTCTTTTTTTTATGGGTCTCTTTTAGGTCACAGAAAACATTATCTCCAAACACACCTTTCAAGGTAACATGAAACCACAGGAATTCAAGTGTTTTCCTCATCGATTGAAGAACAACTTTGTACTGTTGCCTGAACTAACCTAGTCTCTTTTAAAATTCAGTAATCTATATTTTTTAAATGACTTTATATGAGTTGTTTGGTTGCCTTATTGACTCGTTCACTCTTTGTTCTCGACTGTTTTTCAGAAAGAGTCGCTATCCCTCCACGTACAAAATTACTCACCACTGGCAGCCCACGGCCGTCAGCTCATCTTACTCTCAGAGACAGTGGACTGCAGGGTGAGTTTGCCAGCATGTTTGGGTGTGTGCATTACAAAGGCCTTTACTTAGGTCAGCAAAAACAATCTTCTGGAAACAACCCTACAAACCACTACCAATAGGAATTCAGTAACATAACAAAACATGTCTGACTCTTTACTGAACAGATATCTCACATGAAAAAATGTGTTCAACAAATGCTTTGTTGTGGTCACAAACAAATTTCAGCAGAAGCAGGAATGAGCAATGTTTCTGTTCACTGAGCTGATCAAGTTTTGTTGCATCTTCTTCCCTACTATACCAGGTACGACCTCTTTAACCCCCCAGACCGACCTTCACCAGTCCTGTCGCCATCCTGTCCGTTCCTGGGGGAACCAAAGTTTTGGCTCCCACCTGCACAACATGACTGTGTCCAACGGCCGCCTGCGTATTCCTAGCGCAGGCCGCTACTACCTGTACGCCCAAGTCTACTTCCGTTATCTCACCCTCTCCATGGACAATTACCACTCTGGATCTGTCAGCCACCAGGTGGTGCAGTGTGTCTACAAGAAGACTGCCTACGCTCGGCCTATTCAGCTCCTGAAGGGTGTGGGCACCAAATGTTGGTCTCCAGACAGCGAGAACGCCCTTCACTCCATCTACCAGGGCGGCCTGTTTGAACTTCGTGCAGGTGATGAGATCTTCATCTCGGTGTCCTCTCCCACAGCTGTGTATGCAGAAGACTCCTCCAGCTACTTCGGGGCCTTCCTGTTTGACCTCTGAGGGAAGCAGTTGGGGCTTGTGGTCTCATTCCAAGGGAAAGGAAATTGTTTCTGTCTGAGGGCCCCACATGGGAACCATGAAGAGAGGGAAGCACAGATACTCCACCATCTGATGGGTTCAAATGGCCCTGTAATGAGCAAACAACTTATTTTTCAGAAAACCATCTTGTTATTGTGGTCTGAGATGAGGAAGACCATTTGACCTTCGTGGACTGAGTTTTAAATGGACATTTTGGCTTCAGTAGCAAGAGTGATGACCTCTGGACTCCCATCTGAATGGGAGAAAATCTGTGAGGGCTTTATGAAGACAAACCTGACGTTAAACATTAGGAAGACCTGAAAATGATGACAATGACCGTCACTATTTAACCACTTAAAATTAAGACTTTTTACCTTGAACAAATGCACAAAACTTTGTGCAAGCTGCTACTAAAAGTGCATACAAACCATGCCAGATTAATAGTTAGCTTCTTTTGATGTTTTTTTCTTCTTCTTTTAAATAAATGTTATGTTTATATTGTTCATTCTTTCCTAAAAGGAGTGTGACTACTCACGGACGAGAAGTCTCTAATTTAGGAAATTGGTTTGTTTCACTAACAACTAAGCCACCCAAACTGTATTGTGAGTCAAACATGTGTCATTCACTTGTGTCTGAAGTAAAAGTCTAGCAAATAATCTAGAGCCAACATGGGGTAAGATTAAGAGAGACATCACATGACTCATATTTTTCAAAACAAGCCAAAGTTAATCTAACCGTTGTTAAATAATATCCTTTTTTGTTTTTACTCCAATCTGAAATATCTAGGACATGAGTGTAACCAAAGGAGAAAGTTCATCACCAAATCTCACAATCCACACAGAAAAGAAACACTGAAGAGCATGTTACATGTAATTATATTTCATGTAGTGCTTATGAATAAATTACAATGATAATGTGACATTCATATTTAACACTAATGGATAATGCTGAAATAAAATAAAAAAACAAGTTCACATAATTTAAAGAATAAGTACAAAGAACCCAACAAAATGATTTCTGGCTTCTATTACAATTTTTTTTTTCAACAAAAATTAGTACACAATGCTATAAGATGTTCTAAAGGACTGACATTTTGATAAAAAATTGAAATACTGTGGAAGTTATTTAAGGACTGAGAACCAGTCAACCAACAGAGCCATCGGAGGAGTTTCAAGTACAGTTTATAATGGTCTTAGCATTCATTTTATGTCCCACTGTGAATTAACGTAGTGGTTTGGTAGGCTAGCAGAGAAATTCAAATGATTAAAAGAGGTTGAACCAGATAGATGCAGACTTTAACATTAAAATGGGGTCAAATCTGGGTTCGTATGCATATCATGAAATTACACAATTCAAATGACTACATTTTGCATGCTCGGGTTACATTTGGACATGCATGTGATATGAATATAAATGGTACATGCAATACATACAAGCAGCATTTGTAGATGGAGAAAACTTGGGCACCATTAAGTCAAGCTTCAGAAAATGTTATTGAATGGACAATTAAAGAGTGTGCTAATAGAAGCTATTCAGAATTAAAGGGCAAATCTGACTTCTACTTACTGACTTAATGGTATAATGCAATGCATTTGCATTAATCGCATGTTCATATTGTCCAAAAATCACTTGCATAGGGAAATGCTACATACTCTGTAGTTTTAACAGTGGTTTTAAGAGCACAATGTTTGATAACCACATAAAATATTAAGAAGTTTGGGGTCAGTAAGATTTAAAAAAAATAATATAGTACTTCAATTTCGCAGGGATGCATTAAATTGATCAAACGTGACAGTAAAGATATTTATAATGGTACAATAGATTTATATTTCAAATAAATGCTATGTATCACGGCTTCCACAAAAATATTAAGCAACACAACTGTTTTTAACATTGCTAATAAGAATGTTTCTTGAGCACCAAATCAGCATATTAGAATGATTTCTGAAGGATCATGTGACACTGAAGACTGGAGTAATGATGATGAAAATCAGCTGTCAACACAGGCATTTTAAAATATATTACAATAGAAAAAATATATTATAAATTGCAACCGTATTTGACAATATTACTGTTTTATTGTATTTTTGATCAACTAAATGCCTTGATGACCATAAGTAACTGCTTTCAAAAACATGAAAAAACTTACCAACCCCAAACTTTCAAATGGTAGTGTACAAATGAAGTTGTAATTTTGAAAAGTGCATGTAATATGAAAACATATACAGAATGAATCTTTTAATGCATCATCGCTAGGCAGAAATGGCACAGTGCTGCTTAGGACTGATTACAAAACCTGGAAATGTAGCAAAGACTTGACAAAATAAGGAAACTGTAAATCATCAGACTCATAAATTAACACTCTACTTTAACTCATAAATTAACACTCTACTCAATTAAAACGAATTGATAAAATTCAGCAAGAGAGGTTTTAGATGCTGGAATACTTGCGAGTGCTCCTTCAAATTACTAAAAATGTGCATGAACATGTAAACAACAAATAAAGGTTTTAACTTATGCTTAACATCCATCACTATACAAAAATGTCTCTTAAAATCTTAAAGATGAAGACATAGATGAACCAAGGTAGACCAGTTAGGTGAATTTATATGTTTAAACAGATTAATGCTACAAAATGTTATGATTTCCACTGTTTCGTCACTTGTCTGTGTGATATGTTTTGATGCTTTGATGTTAAGATAGGTTGGCTATTTGCAAACACCAAGACTTGGTTGCACTCAGTCCCACCTCTTAAGCTATTTGCTGGAGTGCATAGAACACTTCTGAAGGTTCTCAATCCTGAAGTTGTAGCGCCTGCACCAATGAGGCCCTAAAAATGGATTCACAGTGTGAATGGACGCAAATCCAGTACTGGCAGTTCTGTAGTGCAAATCATTTGGCCAGACTGGTGTTTTCTGCCCAGTGGGTTGTTTCAAACTAGCTGGTGTTTCATAACAGCCCGTTTGGCAGTTCAGTTGAAGAGAATAGAGTCAGGGTCTCGGTTGGCCATCTGGGCCATGTGTTTCAGAATGTCTTTTTTGGTGATGATGCCCAGTAAACGCCTGTGGGAAACAGGAACAGATAATTACATTGAGCTAACGTGAATCTTCTGATGTGTGTAAATCATGGACACGCTCGACAATAAGAGTTCAGAACTGTAAAACTGCTAAGCTAAGCGAACCAAGCTTTTACCCGTTGTGAGTGACGAGACACTGGCGCAGACCCAGCTTGCGAAAGATGTCCACCACAATGTCCATGGCAGTGTGGTCTGTTACGGTAAATGGGCTGAGATCCATGATACCACGAAGCTTCAACGGGGGAGGGCTGTTGGGTGGCTGTGAAGGTGTGTATTCAGTGAAGAAAATTCGGGAGGCGCTGACCACACCTTCCTGCCGCTGACGAGCATTTTCTGCCAGAGGGAAATGGAGAATAATAAACCTTCTCATGAGAGACCTATAATTCACATGAGCCCTATAATAATACAGTAATAGAAAGGGATAGTTATAGGGATCGAAAGGCCCTCATATCTGTCCAAACCTGTATGACTTTCTACTGTGTAACTGCTGAAGAAGAATGAAGACTGTTTCAAAGTTTTTGTCCATACAATGAAATGTGCAAAACAACTATGGACTCCATTGACTATATTTGTATGAACAAAAAACGACTTGGTGTCTTAAGGCCAATTCACACCGCACTAACAGACGGCGACAGACGGCAACGGACACTTCGTCGGGTTTTGTTGGATAAGTGTGTTACCCCTGTCGGAGTCTGTTGCCGTCTGTTGGAGCTTGTTTTCACCGATTGAACAAGCTGAATCGTATTTAGCATGTCTGAGAAGTGACGTGCTGTAATCAGGTGACTGTCGGTGTTGGTCTTGCATCTGTCGGAGTAGTGTGAATTGGCCTTTACAGAAGAAAAAGTCAAAGATTTTGAACAACGTAAGGTAAAAGTTGATAGAATAACATTTTTGGGGTGAACTATTTTTTTAATCTACGAAGATCTGTTCATCATCGGTAAGCATAGTCGAAGACCTAAGGGCATTTTCAGACCTGGCTTGTTTTTAGTGTTTGCTCCCTTAGTTTGGTTATTTTTGACATAAACACGGCAATTGCACTCGGATCCGCACCAAAACTATCGGTCTGAGATTGCATGAATGGGGTGGGTTTCGGCACAATTGAAAGCAACCTCTGGAGGGGTTCGCTTGTGTTGAGAAAGCAATCCGACACAACAGATTATGAACCAAGCTGTACCAAAAGTCACCACGTAAAAAGCAGCAGTGTCTGATTCTGTCGATAAGCACATTATTTACTCTTGAACTGTCCTGTAATTGCTTGATTACTAGAATGCTGATTATATACATGTTATCAGTTAGAGTGGGAATGAAGGCTTATATATATATTCGTAAAAGTGTGTGTAAAGAAAGCCCATGGAGCTTGTTAATCCATCTTGATGGATGCCACTATGAGCAGAATCCTGACATTTAAACAGGTGCTCTCTGACCAACGAGAGGACCGTCATGATGTGACATATCTTGCGAAAATGAAATGAACCCATAAAAAAAAGTGCAACATTGTAAAAATGTAAGTCCCTGTTTCGGAACAAGACAAACAATGTACAATGTGGCCTGAAAACTGCAAAAGAAAGATCATCATAAAAAATCCACCTAAAGCTGTAATCTCTTACCAATAGAGATGACCAGATCCCTGCGCTGCACAAAGCCCACAAGTCTCTGAGACTCATGTGAGACGACCACAGGGAAGCCGCTGTATGACGTTTCAGCAATGAGCGACTCAACTTCCTCCACGCTCATCCCGTCCTGTGTAATCACGGAGAGTGGGGGATCGCTTCGGCGAGGTCGCATCACATCCATGGCCAGTGTCTTGTGGCTAAACTCCTCCTTAGACTCCAGGAAGGGGTAGCCGTTGAGACGGATGTGAGCCTCATAGATGCCCTCTCGACCCAGAGCATCTGCCACCCATTTACTAGTCATGGTGGCAGCCATGAGAGGTACGATGTATTCCAGACCGCCTGTTAGCTCAAACATGATGACCACCAGAGAGACGGTCATACGAGTCACACCGCCTATGAAAGAAAGACAGGCCTGGCAAAAAGGCACCTGGACAAGCCACTAATGGCACATTTTTGACAGAATACAGTTTAAATAGAATTGAAAAGATTCTTACCCAAGCAGGCAGTAGCGCCCACCATAGCATAAAGGCCTGGAGTGATGCAGTCCGCTCCAGGTGAGCACCAGCCTCTAAAGATTACCCAGTCGTGGTGGTAATATGCCAGCTGCTCCATACCCACACCGAGCAGTCTGCCTGCGATCGCTCCCACAGCCATACTGGGGATGAAGAGACCAGAGGGCACCTGGAGGAACACACAGGAGAAGACCGTACACACAACGGCCTGTGTAAACATCAAACTATTCAAAAAGGAAATGGAAAGTGTGTCAAGTCCTTGGGAGAGGGAGGGAGGGAGGGAGGGATAATGGAAGAAAGGGAGATAGAATGGATGAAGAAAGAAAGAAAGAAAGAAAGAAAGAAAGAAAGAAAGAAAGAAAGAAAGAAAGAAAGAAAGAAAGAAAGAAAGAAAGAAATGGATGGATGAAGGAAGAATGGTAAAAAGAAGGACAGAAATAAAGAAATGGATGGAAAAAAGGAAGAATGGAAGAATGGAAGAAACAAATGAAGGAAAGATGGATGGAAGAAAGAAAGAATGAAAAGACAGAAATAAAGAAATGGATAGATGGAAAGGATGGATGGATGAAGGATAGAAGGAAGAACAGAAAAAAGACAAATAAAGAATTAATGAAAGAAATGGAAAGAAAAAGTCTGGATGGAAAAAAGACAAAGAAAGAAAGAATGAATGAGAGAAAGAAAGAAATGGACGAACGGAAGAAAGAATGGTAAAAGAAGGAAAGAAATGTAAGGAAGAAAGGAAGATAGGGTGAATGGATGAAGAAAGAAAGAAAGAAAGAAAGAAAGAAAGAAAGAAAGAAAGAAAGAAAGAAAGAAAGAAAGAAAGAAAGAAATGGATGGACAGAAGGAAGAACGGGAAAAAAGACAGAAAGAAAGAAATGGATGGATGGAAAAAGAAATTTATGATGGATGGAGGGATGGAAAAAGGAAGATATAATGAATGGAAGGAAGACAGGATGTATGAAAAGAAGGATGAATGGATGGAAGATAGAAAGGATGGATAGATGGAAGAAAGAAAGAAAGAAAGAAAGAAAGGAAGGATGAATGGATGGAAGAAAGGATGACAGGATGGCTGGCTCTGCCCCAGTACCTTCATGCCGAAGGTCACGACGGTGATGAGCATCTTGAAGATCAGGGCGAGTGAGAGCTGCCACATGGCTGTGTACACATCATGTCCTGCGGGCCTGTCGGGCAGAGCGTCGCTGCTGCTCTTGGTGACGCTCACGTTGGCGTAGTTACACAGCTGTGAGGAGTCCAGCAGACCACAGTCATTGAACAGCTCAGAGATCAGCTCGCTGGTGCTCATACGGGTGTAGCTGTTGGGGAACGCCAGCAGAGCAGTGACCGCAGTAACAACCAGCACCTCCAGCACAGGGTAGTGACCCAGCCGAGTCGTCTTACGCCGGCGGCACCACGCAATGTTCGCGCGGATGAAGAAAGCTCCCCAGATTCCCCCGAAAATACCCAACAGGATGAAGGGTATGAGCTCCAGCAAATGCCAAGGGGAGTGGAACTCCACGTAGAAGAGCACCAGCCTGCTGTTCCCAAACGGGTTGATGGAGCGAAGGGTGAAGGCCGCCACCAATGCAGCAAAGAAAGAGCGCCACAGCGTCTTCAGGGGGAAATAATAACTCACCTACAGGATAAAGAGAGTCATTCAAAAAGACTGGTCATTCAAATGACTCTAGATAATGCTGAGAGTATGCAAACAGAAGTTTGTTAGGAGCATGCTTGCCTCTTCCAGACTGAAGAGAACGCCACCGATCGGAGCGCCGAAAGCTACTGACACCCCAACGGCTGCAGCGGCGGACAATACCTAAACACACACACACACACACACACACACACACACACACACACACACACACACACACACACACACACACACACACACACACACACACACACAGAAGAACAAGAGAAGTCAAGCAACAGACCAAGCGTATCACTGAAAAGGCTTGGATCAACAAAGGCCTCAGATGTCAAAATAAAACGTGATCTTATGTTTGGTCTCATCTTCGTGATGTCGATAAAAACATTCTCACAACGAGTGATTTTAAAACAGAAAACCACAAAAACAGCCAACTAGAATGTCCTTAGCGGCAAGCCACAAAAATGTAACAACAAATGCCCCTTAGAGGCACTGTATTTATAGGGAGTGACAGATGGGAGATTAGTTAGTGCTTTTCTCCTTACAAACAGGGATCATAGTCAATAGTCACACAGGAATAAGGGAAGTTCAAATTATATTGGATATGACAGACAAGGGTGTTTCCTAAAGGGATAGTTCAGCCAAAAACGAAAATTATCCCATCATTTACTCACCCTCAAGCCATCCTAGGTGTATATGACTTTCTTCTTTCAGACAAACACAATCAGTGTTTAAGAAGTATTAAAAAAATATCCTGGCTCGTCCACGCTTTATAATGGCAGTAAATATAGAGCCTGTGTTTTTGAAGCCCAAAAAAGCGCATCCATCCATCATAAAAGTAATCCATACAGCTCCAGGGGGTTAATAAAGGCCTTCTGAAGAGAAGCGATGTGTTTTTTTGTAACAAAAAATTCCATATTTATAACTTTATAAACTATAATCAGTGGCTTATTTTAATAAAAGGGGGATTTATAATGGGTAAAAAGACATCGATCACATGTACTCATCATACCTCTCGTCTCTTTGCCTCATTCTTGCGGTACTTGGTGAAGAGGTGGCACAGGATGTTTCCACAGCAACAGGCCACATGGACTAGAGGCCCTTCTTTCCCCAGACTGAGTCCAGATGACACAGCCAGCACTAGGGTGATGGTTTTAATCATAAGAGTCCATTTACCCAGGTAGCCCCTGATGATAAACCCACTCAAGATGGTCTTGATCTAGAGGGTCAAACAAAAACTGTGACATTTTAACAGTGGTTTATACTTTATTATATATTAATGCAACAACCAGTAAGTCAAAATGCAAGATTAAATATTATACAGGCACTCAAATTCTTTAGCTTACCTCAGGTATTCCAGAGCCACAGGCATACGGGGCGAAGGCCCTGACTAAAGACACAGCCAGGAAGGAGAAAAGCAGCGCCCAGCACACATACATCAGGTAATTCATGATGTAGGCGAAAGGGCCGTCATTGGTGCCGACGATGAGCTCTGCCCAGCTTTTCCATTGAGGGCATTTATCTCTCTCCTGGAAGGTCGTCTCATTGGAGTTCCAGCAGCAGTGCTCATGATTAAACCAGAAGCCGTTCAGACACACTCCCTCCTTCAGATCGGTCATCCAGTGGGCAGAGATGTCGATCCCACCAGCCAGGGCACCTGGAATCAAAAAGAACAGCACATGCTATAAAACATCAGGGTAAGGCCAGGTGTTTGCGATGTGTGATTGGAGCTCTATAATCACTCCTCATGAAACTTCTGCTTTAATATTATAGAGGCGAACCAACCTGACATCAGTCCCACGAGCAGCATGAGAAGCCAGCCGGAGAAGGCGTCACTGATGCTTTTCAGCAAAGCCCAGGTTGACTCTTTACTCTTGCTAGCAATCTATCATAAAGAGAAATTGAAGACCACAGACAGTCAAGTCACCTTTATTTATATAGCGCGCCGCTTTTTATAATATAGATTGTTTCAAAGAAGCTTCACCGTAATACACAGGAAAATAACAATCAATGATACAAACTTTAATTATGAGACAAACTAAAATTCTGTGTTCGCTCAGTTTAGTTCAATAACTGTTATGCACATACATAACCGATTCACCAATACACTCAATAACCGATACACATAACTGTGTTTTTCTCACAAAACCTCAGTAAAAATTCCAGGGCAAATGACCTGCTGTTTTTCGGCGAACTCAACGGTCCTCTGAGAAATCTAATCCTGTCTGAATGCGAATGTCTGTGATTGCTGATGTTGTATTATCCTAACGCTCTCCTCATGTGTTTTTGACCTACCTGAGCTACCGTTTGCGCACTAATCTTCAACATGCTTTAATTTTGTTTCAATAATGGATGGTATCAGACGAAAAAAATAACATACTGTGTAGCTGCAATTAATAAATAGAGCGAAATTGCGGAAACTGCGAAGATAACGAAGATATTAATATCACTGCGAAGATATTAATATCACTGTCAGGTAAGTAAGATACTTGTCCAGATTTCTCTGCTCACTTATTTCTTATAAATACCCACTGCTATAAACTCGTGAAGTTTACTTAAATGTTTTTATTATAATAAATTAAAATCATATCAACAAATATTAAATTAGAAGACATATACGTGACGCACGCACAGCACATTTGCTTCTGTTATGGCCACGTCTAGAAAACACACACTCCCACCTCTGTAATAAACATGGAGATCTTAGTCCTGTCCGAATCGGTACATGAAATCACAGACGTCGAGTGATAAGAATTGTAACTCAAACTTCGTTTAGAAAACTAGTCTCATCCGAATAGGGCTTAAGCAAGCCAAAGGTGACTGTGGCAAGGAACTCTTTCGTGTGATGGAAAGGCAGAAAAAACTGTAGGAGAAACCAGACTCGGGGTGGGCAGTTCTACCCTGGCCAAATGAATGAACATGGTGTGACAAGCTTATACTACAGCTCAAGTGTTTTTAATTGGTCGGGATACACAACATGCACAATTCATTTATTTCCGAGCATTAAAGATGATGTTTAAAAAGTCAGAAAGATTCAACTGAGAACTGTCACCTCTCTGTGGCGATCTCGGTCCTTAGATTTCTCCCGGACCCAATCAATGGTGTTGAAATCTTCATATGTGCCGACCCCAGGCACTGGCTCATCTAGTAAATCCATCAGTTTAGGAACCCCATTAGGCCCAGCTCCATATGAACCACCTGCACAGATAAAAAAAAAAAAAAAAAGATATAATATAGCTGCGAGCAGCGATGACGGACCCAAGCCGGTGGCACCGCCACCCTTTAGGATAACTGTGCGCGACGGGCAATATGAATGTAAAACTCGAAAAATGTAAAAGAACCACATCTAAGTCTTCTGAATACGCCACATTTACTGAAGCAGCTGGTGCCACTATGACCGTGAACCACAACAGCCACATCCATAAAATTATTTAATTTTAAATTAATTCATGTCATTGAATGTCATAGGTCACTTTAAAATGAGTGCAAAATTATCTTTTGCATAAGGACAGTTTTTATCTCAAGGTCTTTTTTATATTTTTATTGATCTAATTATTAAACATATTATTTAAAACTATGTTGTCAGTGCACTACAAATAAACTGGTTCTATGACTTTGTTAATCAAACTTGTTAAGAAGAGACAAGGCATACTAATACAGTTCTTATCCTTCAATGCAGGCCAATGCACACAGCAATGGAAGGGGTTAAACACTTAACCCCTTCCATTGGGGGGGGGGGGGGGGGGGGGGGGGGGGGGAGAGAGAGAGAGAGAGAGAGATCAAATGCTTAGCCTGTTTACGAAGTTGAACCAGAAGAATAAACATTTTAAACAAAAACAAATAAAAAATCTAATTTGTACCAAAAATATTTTTTTTTATCATGTCAATTTTTAAAAATAATAATTATTTATATATATAAATATATGGCTTTTTTTAAACGACAAGAAAAAGAGAATTTCAAGTAACGTTAGCCTGATTAGAACAACAGTGACAAAAAATACTTGGGAATCACTAAAACGAGAGATTATTCTGATTTTATTACATTTATTGTAAGTTGCGATCGATAGTGGATAATAAATGTATTACTGATGGTAACAAGGTTGCGCTGCTGAGGCTCGTGAAGAGGCTCTCGAGGAGAAATGTAAACAAATGAGCACAGCACACAAAAAAGAAACTCAGTTAACAACATACTGCCTATAAAAATATAAGTTTTTATATTTTTAACATATGATAGGCTAACTTACAGTTAAGCAACCTCACATGAGAGGGCTGTTTCCTGAATACCATCACGATTGAAACTGGGACATTGATTTCATACAACAGTTCAATAAACAGTTACAATTAAGTCACTTACAGTTTAGATGCAATATTGCCTGTTTTTGTTTTGTTTCAGCAGAGAAAATAGTTTCGCGCATCTCACAGCGGTGTTTCTCATTACTGAATGATTCAGCATTTTGAAAAAATCGGTTGACTCAAAGATTCAAATATTCAATCGATAAACATCTGTCTCATTCATGAATGACTCAGTCGTTCGAACGAATTGTTTGAACGAATGAATCAATGACTCGCTCATTAAGACGGTCGCCTGGCGACACCTGTGATGACGTCACTTTGTAGGACAACTCGGAAGCTAGCGGCGCATGGGTTCCCTCGATCGAAAAGCTATGCATTTTCCCCATAGACTTTTGGAAAATCGCAAAAAATAAGATCTGTGTTTAACAAAGAGTTGTTACCCTTACACGTTTTGTCTATCAAGATAATCTTTACAAGTTAATCCAAAATGTATACATTTTGAAGCCTATATAAAGTTTTTAAAAAACACAAGCAGACACAAAGTTTAAAAAACCACAAGCAAGTTATAACTGTGTGTTCTATGTCATAGATCAAAACGTGAAAATATTTAGAAGCTTTGTTCACCACAGACCTTATTTCAGGCGATTTAGCAAAAACCCATTCAAAAATCCCATTGACTTTAGAGCGAGGGAACCGGGAGGCGCTATTTTTTTTCACAGGATGGTAGGGGAAGACTCATGAATATTCATTAGGGAACTCATCCCTGATTGGTCTGATGACCTACCCCTAACCCTGCCCCTAAACCTACCCGTCACCCCACCCCTAAACCTACCAGTCACTGGGGTTAAGACCAATCAGGGATGAGTTCCCTAATGAATATTCATGAATCTTCTCCTACCATCCTGTGAAAAAAAATATGCAACCGGGAGTGCTAAAATGCTAACTCACTTCCGCGTTTTGGCCTACAGAGTGACGTTGTAACTTCGGCACTCTATGGCGGGTTAGTGTTATGTTTAAAAGTATCATTCTTTCCAACGATTATTTTTCAGTGTGATTTAATTTGTGATCTTATTATTCTAAATAATTGAATGTATTGATCAAATTTCGAAATTAAAATACATTTGATAAGACTAGACTAGGGGGTGCCCTGCAGATATTACAATATGGAGATTTAAATATATCATTCCCCCCCACCGGCGATTTGATGTGTGTGTGTGTGTGTGTGTGTGTCATTTAGTTCAGTTAGAGAACGGACACTACACTCGAAATGGCGCTAATTTTAAAGTGAATATACAAAGCTCACGGCTGCACAGGCATTCATAACGGTGCGCGTCCACGGCGAGGAGTGAGCAGAACAGAGCGAACGTTTTTTTACTTCCACAGGAATTCATTGAAGCGAGCGCCACTATTATCAATGTCTGTGCGGACATCCGTATTTTGCTTTCACTTTTATATTAGCGATTTAAAAGCCCCCGCTGGTGTCACATGTTGATTAAACGGTGGGAAAATATCCTCACAGTCACATACCTAAAATATTTATATATAAATACAATAGGCCTACCTGATAAAAAGTTTTATGTACTATTTTATATCATTTTGACACAAGAGGGCAGTATAGCCCTATGTATGATTTTAGTTTAACCAAGGCTGCATTTATTTGATCAAAAAACAGTAAAAACAGTAATAATATTGTAGCCTGGGAAAACCCAGACAACTTCCGGCAAATTTAGATTCAAGCTCATTCAAGCTCATTTCCAATCCGCCGAAATCGCGGCACCAATCAGAAACGTTGGGGCGGGCTTTACACGATGACGACAGCGCTGGGATTTTGAAGCAGATTTTGTAGCCTACATTACAAAGATGGATGCCACCGTCGAACATCACTCGTTCGAATCAGCTATCGCGTCTGTTTATTAAAGTGATTTGAACGTTTCCTTTTTGTTAAAAACACTCTGAGATGTTTCTCCGCCGCTCTGCATACCCCATCTCCTTCATCGCTCTGACTGGTTTTAGGTCTATCCGCGACGTCCGTTGGTGACGCCCCTCTGGAAATGATTTGTCTATGACGCTTTGCCAGACCCTAACTCAGTTACAACTGAGAATGGTCTGGTTTTAACCAGGCTAATAATATTGTGAAATATTATGACAATTTAAAATAACAGTTTTCTATTTTAATACATTTTAAAATGTGATTTTAAAATATATCAAAGCTGAATTTTCTGCATTGAATATACACTCACCGGCCACTTTATTAGGTACCCCATGCTGGTACCCCATGCTAGTAACGGGTTGGACCCCCTTTTGCCTTCAGAACTGCCTCAATTCTTCGTGGCATAGATTCAACAAGGTGCTGGAAGCATTCCTCAGGGAGTTTGGTCCATATTGACATGATGGCATCACACAGTTGCCGCAGATTTGTCGGCTGCACATCCATGATGCGAATCTCCCGTTCCACCACATCCCAAAGATGCTCTATTGGGTTGAGATCTGGTGACTGTGGAGGCCATTTTAGTACAGTGAACTCATTGTCATGTTCAAGAAACCAATTTGAAATGATTAGAGCTTTGTGACATGGTGGAAGTAGCCATCAGAGGATGGGTACATGGTGGCCATAAAGGGATGGACATGGTCAGAAACAATGCTCAGGTAGGCCGTGGCATTTAAACGATGCCCAATTGGCACTAAGGGGCCTAAAGTGTGCCAGAAAAACATCCCCCACACCATTACACCACCACCAACAGCCTGCACAGTGGTAACAAGGCATGATGGTTCCATGTTCTCATTCTGTTTACGCCAAATTCTGACTCTAACATCTGAATGTCTCAACAGAAATCGAGACTCATCAGACCAGGCAACATTTTTCCAGTCTTCAACTGTTCAATTTTGGTGAGCTCTTGCAAATTGTAGCCTCTTTTTCCTATTTGTAGTGGAGATGAGTGGTACCCGGTGGAGTCTTCTGCTGTTGTAGCCCATCCGCCTCAAGGTTGTGCGTGTTGTGGCTTCACAAATGCTTTGCTGCATACCTCGGTTGTAACGAGTGGTTATTTCAGTCACTGTTGCCCTTCTATCAGCTCGAACCAGTCTGGCCATTCTCCTCTGACCTCTGGCATCAACAAGGCATTTCCGCCCACAGAACTGCCGCTCACTGGATGTTTTTTCTTTTTCGGACCATTCTCTGTAAACCCTAGAGATGGTTGTGCGTGAAAATCCCAGTAGATTAGCAGTTTCTGAAATACTCAGACCAGCCCTTCTGGCACCAACAATCATGCCACGTTCAAAGTCACTCAAATCACCTTTCTTCCCCATACTGATGCTCGGTTTGAACTGCAGGAGATTGTCTTGACCATGTCTACATGCCTAAATGCACGTAGTTGCCGCCATGTGATTGGCTGCTTAGAAATTAAGTGTTAACGAGCAGTTGGACAGGTGTACCTAATAAAGTGGCCGGTGAGTGTATATCACTAGTAAATATTTTTAAATATTATATTAAATTTCAATGCAGCAATACTTGTGAGCAGATTATGCATTAGCATTTACATATTATTATTATTATTATGCAGTGTAAGTCATAGGTGGTGGTGCACATTCCTGTTCCTGTGTTCAGAGTTCTTCACATGACTTTCATAAGAATGATTTTACTAGTACCAAGAACAGGAAATAAACTTACTCAACAAAAAACACAGCAATAAAACTAGCTATGGTTAATGATTATCTACCTTCTAGAAAACAAAGCTTAATTTTATATTAATTACTACGCCATGATGTGTGCATAAGGACACAAAGAGTACAACATAAAAGTAACCCATTTTTGTTTATACAATAAAAAAGTGAACACAAAATGTTAGTGTTTGAGAAAAAAAAATAAACCATAAAATGTGTGGAAGTAGCAAATCACACAGCAGACACTACAAAGCAACTAATATCAAACGCAGAGGAAGTTCAAGGGAAATAAATGGATGTAAAAACCTGACACCGGTAAAAATATGAAACTAGCTACAATAGAAAAAACGAGAGGGGACACTTTGATCTCTTTGATAAAAGGATTTCTGTGAGGGGGGGCGGCAAATACCAAAGTTGTGACCTCAGCGAATTCTCACCACTATTTTCTCACAGTCACACAAACACCAGAGACCTATTCATTACACATTTGCCCCCAAAACCTATATCAAATGATGAGAGAAAGGGAAAAAACTATGGGAATCTCATGAATGACAATAAAAATGAAGAAAAGAACGAAAATGAATAAGGATAAAACTGGGTGGCAGCTACATTGGAGAAATAATATGACATATATTGTCACCTCTCCACATCGTCATTGTCACTCGGGCCATTTTCAATCCCCTTTGTCTCATTTGACTATAAACGCAACACATGAGTTTGGGTATAGTAGATCTGGCACTCACCTGAGCTATAGTCCCGGTCTAGAGGAGGTACGTCATCTGTGCTGGAAAAGTCCAGCGTGGCTCCTGCTACTTCCACCATGTCCTCATCGCTGGTTCCGCTCTGCAGGCTGTTGAAGCTCTCACTGCAATAGCCAGTGTTGTCCATCGTTCCTCCGGACTGTGGAGGACATAGAAATGTCCTTTGACCTGAGCACAAGAGACTCCATTTAAGTTAAAGCTTGACAGGTCCCACCCTACTATTAATGTTTACCTGAATACTAACTGCATATTTACATCATGACTTTTTAATTCCATTTATAATGATTCTGGACTATGAGTAATAAAAAGTGGATGTACTCTGAATATAGAATTTATAATAGTCATAAAGAATCTAATAATAATATTAAGAATGTATTTATTACCAGCAAAACTATGCAGAAAATTAATTTCAAATCATAACTATGAACTCTCTTTAGCATCCTTTTTACTTTTCTTTTCTAATTTTTTATTGGTTTTAAAAGTTTACAAGTACAGCCAAGGGTACATTAGTATAAACAAAAACAAAAGACAGAAATAAAGTTGAATAAAACACTAAACTGTTCGCAAATATTAACAACTTTCTTATTTTTCAAACTTAATCTTGTTTTTAGGTATTGTTGAACTTCAGCCTTTAAAATTAAAAGCAAAGACTTATTTCCCCCATATCTACATTTATCCTATAGAAGTAGCAGACTAGATTAAAGGTTTAATATCTGAGTTAGTAAACCAAAGCTAATGACATCAGCAAACTTCAAATATGGGTCATTTTAGCTTAGCCAACTAGCTTGCAAAAGAAGTATGAGTAATATGCTGGCAATATGGTAAATGGTAGCAAAATGGAGTATAAAAAAGCGCATTTAACACTCTTCCTAATCTGATTTAAGGTCTCAGCAATGGGGAACTATGACAAATGTGCAAAAATAGTCATACGGCTGGTTAGCAGGATAGCTCAAATGATTGCTTGCTAACCAGCTGTAATTTTCATAAACTTAAGAACCGTGGCTTAATGGCATCAAGTTGAACTATTTCAGAATATATTTATAATTTTAACATGCCGTATATTGCCTGTACTTTGGTTAAAGTGAAACTAGTAAACAATTACCTTGTTTGCTATCTCAAGCGCCGATGCCAATGACGTACAAATTAAGACATTTACAGCCGAGTGCCGATACACAAGATCTTGTGTGTAGATTTCAGCATTCGATTAAGAATGTCTCTGAATTTTGGCCTCTGTCACTACTGTCCAAAATCTAGTTTTTATCTACCTCAGACAAAAAGTATCGATATAAAACCTGTTATCTGCAACCTTGTGACCCTTTCTGGTGTTTTATATTTTTAATGTATTGATTATTTCTTATTTATTTTTGTAAGTTTATATATTTTGTAATTAAATTGAATGTTTAGGCTATTTAATCCCTTGTGAAATCCCTTGCAATCTTAGTTGTATTGAATGCGCACTTGAAGATAATATCAATGAAATAAAAGTCCTCTTAAGTGTACCTAAAGCACTTAATTGTGTTTCTTAACACACAGGCTACACTTTTAAAGTGCACTTTGTAAAATTAAATGTTGTATTTTAAAGTACATTTTAAATCATTGTTTATTTTGATGTGTTGATTAACATAGGCGGCCTATGTTAATTTTAACTGCAGTGTTATTTGATATTACATTTAAAGTTAATATTTTATCAATGTAATTTTTTTATATAAATACTAATTGGCTATACTTAATCATTACAAATGTGTAATTACAAATATATTTAAATGTATGGCATGCAAATGCCAATAGGAATCAATTTTAAAGTAGCCCATATTCTAGTTTATCATAAAATTCTTGTCATTACATTTGGCAGTACACTTTAACCGTATTTCAAAGACAATAAAGTAATTATGAAATGACATAAAAAGATGCAATTGTGAGTAAAAAGCAAAGTAAAAAAAAACCTCAAGTTTAGCTAATTGCATTTCAAATGTAAAGTGTATTACAGTGTACATGTATTCTATAATATTGTAATAATATTATTCAATAATATTATTCTATAACTATAATTGCTATAAATATAATTCTAAAAACAAATTACAAAAACTTGAATTATGCTATAACTATAATTAATTTAATTGTAAATAATATAAATAAAGGGACGCAAAATGAAAATCCTGTTATCATACTCACGCTCATGTCGTTACAAACCTGTATGAGTTTCTTCTGTTGAACACAAAAGAGCTGACGGCACCCATTGACTTCCATAGTATTTCTTTCCCTATTATGGAAGTCAATGGGTGCCGTCAGCAGTCTGGTTACCAACATTCTTCAAAATATATCTTAATTTGTGTTCAACAGAAGAAAGAAACTCATACAGGTTTGGAACAACATGAGGTGATGACAACATTTTCGTTTTTGGGTGAACTATCCCTTTAAGTATCTGGAAACTATGGCCTAAATTAGGCCTACAAAGTAGCCTATATATTCTTTTAAAATATATCATATCCATAATATGTAGGACTATACTCTTTTTAAAAGCATGCTGTAAGCCAGCCTACTTGTTTTTCACAAGGGCTGTTCGTTACTTTAAATGAAAATTGCAAAATGACACAAATAAGAATACATGGACAGTACACACACACACACACACACACACACACACACACACACACACACACACACACACACACACACACACACACACACACACACACACACACACACACACACACACACACAGGCAATCAATGAGTGGCTCAATGTTGCCATCTATAGGTGAGACAGTGCAGACAAACTGAGGCGACCTCCTTCTCTCTTGATCACGCAGTTACTATTTTGTAACTACAATTACGTGTTAATGACCTAATGGACTTTGTGTTGTAATGAACCACATGGACTTTGTTTTATTTCTGTAAACGGCATCAAGACCTTTCTCTATAAAAACATGAATTCATGTACTTCACAAATAAGTAATAGGCCACAGATTTTCAAAACAAATATATATTTTAGAACTTTCCAGTTTGTGCCGATTAAATACACAGACTGACTGAATCATACTGTTCTGTCATTTGGAGCACAATCTGAACTTTCACCGCTCAAGTGTGTGTTAAGTTAAGCAGGTCATTCAGCATTATGCTATTATTGCCTATTAATAGACTTTTTTATTTTATTTTTTATAATTTAATCAATTTAGAGTTCAATTTAAAGTTTGTTTGAATGTTTAAGAGATATTTTTATTTTAGGTCCTGTTATTGATCATTTTGTATAGCTACATTTTAAATGGTCCTGTGGTGTGACAAATGAAATGCATAAAAAATGCATGCATAATAATTAATTACAAGACAAAGCTAAATAGGCAACCGTTGCAACCTTTTCATTTTGGTTGAATTATTCTGCCTGTGCAATGTTTCATATTCATACATTAATTAGGCCTATTAAATTAATTAGGCCTATATTTAAATTGAAATGACTGATGCAACGGCATGCAAGATTCTTAGTATGAACATGTTATCTGAGTGAACTTGATGACCTATTGATTTAGAGAGATGGATGGGAACATACTTGTCTCTTGAAAATTATGTTAAAGGTATAAAAAAGAGATAAGCAACCTTTGTGTATTCTCCATTATCAAATAAGTTCCTATTCGAAAATCCCAATATGAGATCTAGTGCATGCAATTGTAATTTGTTAGATACAGCTTTTTTCCTGTTATTTAATTATTAAAACAATCTAATCATGATGTAAAAAGCATGCTACTGTAAATCTAAAAAAAAAAATAACATTTAGGTCAGAACTTCTGAGTAATTTTTTTTTACTCCCATCAATCCCAGAAGCTACATTAATGCCTATTTAAGCTTATGTAAACTCTCAAATATTTACTAAACACGTGATTTTATCTTGGCCATGCATGGCCTTAAGCATAGTAAGAGAGCAGAAGAGACGGATAGACAGAGAGGGTGGGGTGGTAAGATCAATGTTGCAGGGTTATAAATACACATGGCCATTGCAAAGTTTAAGCTAATCTCCTGGACACACTGACATACAGTAGTTAAGGGAAAAACACCACCAGAATGAATCTGCATCACTTTCACCTGGCAAAATTTGGATTTTGCACACTGATCTTGCTAGTGCTGATGCATCAGGTAGGTTTACACCTCTTTCCAACAACTTTTTTTCAAAGATAGCGAGAACATGATAACAGGTTGGCAGGCATGAAAATGTTTTTGTTAAAAAACCCTGCTTTTTCACTTTTATCAAAATTACTGCATTGAAAAAAATGGTGTAGGTGCCAATTTTTACTGAGAAAATACAAACAAATAATTATAATGAAACAAGTAACATGTTGAATTAAACATGAAATTTGAGAAAGACACAATAGTATTTTCTTGTGTGAGCTAACATTGAACAGCATTTATTAGTAACTTCAACATATTTTTAAAATCAAGTGTAGTTTGACATTACAAATATTTTAACATTAGTTAATGCACTGTGCAATAACATGATCAATGAACAATACTATTTTAATTAACACCGATTAATAAATGCTGTACAGTATTGCTCATTATTAGTCCTTGAAAGTTGCTGCCTTAATTTTTAAGTACAATCAACTTGAATATTTAAGTCATTGCAACTTAAATGACATTAAACTGACTTATAAAAATGAGTTAAATCTTGTATCTTATAAAAAAGTATTTTGATGAGTTAAAGCAACGTAAAAGCACATGTTGTAATACCTTATTGATCATATATATATATATTTTACAGTTTAATGTTAACAAATGAGGCCTTGTTGTTAAATGTTACCCTAGAATGTATCAGTTATTAAATAATAAAATGTAAAAAGTTAAATTAAGTTATTATTATGTGAATGACTGTGAAATGTATGTTAGGTATCCACTGTGCCATTAGTGACTTCTGAGGTGCGATCAGATCTTCAGTCATCACATATCCTGCACCGCAAGATACGAATGTCCCCTTTGTGGCGAATTATGGGGTTCAAACCATACGGAGCTTACTGCCATGACAGCATAGAGTGCACTACGGGATTATGCAGGTACGTCACTGCTGCCATCCATCTCCTTTCATCAAGTCCTATAAACTGCCCTTTATGAAAACTGATCATATTTTCTACCCACAGGAATGGTCATTGTTCTTTTAATGAGCCTGTTCATTCATAGCGGAGTGGAAGACTGAAAAATATTAATTTATGAGTCAACCTACATACTATTTTGTGGCCATATTTTGTGTGTGTGTGTATGTTGCAAGCACTTTAATTTTTGAACTGTGGTCTATGTAGCACAGTACTTACTGTTAAGAGCATGCGGAGAAGTCTGACTTGAAAAGTTACATTGGTTTCACTTTAGATGTTTTATGTTTTAAGCATTTAATAACCTTATTTATTATGGTCATTAACATATTGGGGTTTGTATTTGACTTGCCCCGAACTTTAATTCTACAATACATTGCTGTAAGCATTGTAATTAAAAGACTAGCATGAGTAATTTGTAGACCATTTTAAGAGCTATATATGTATAAATAATTGTATTCATGCAATATTTGATATAAAGTACTGTATTTGATAAGCTACGAGGGCATACAGAAGGCCTCAGTAGTATCGATAGGCACAGTGCTGGTAAGAGAACGTGCAGTTGCACACATCTTTCTCAGGATGGTCTGAGTTCTCTGAATCCATCTAATGACAAAGGCCCCTGAAGTTAGTGAGAGGAGTATTTGCACAAGAATACTGTAACAAACTGATGTCATTGTACTGTGAACGACCTCCACATGTACCAAGATGTCCTTTTCTGACATGAAAGAGCAAAGTTTATGTTTGTCAAATAAAACACTAAAAATACCTCTGTTTCTGCAACTTTTAGTTTACTCTTTTTGAACTATTATTGTGTTCTTGTGATAGGCTATTCAATTGTGATATGTTTAAATTTGAGTAGGCTATGCATATTTTTGAAGCAAGTATCATACAAAAAAACTTTTGACAACAACTTTTTAAAACAAACAAAAGTGTCCCTAAAATCAAACTTAATCAAATTTATTTATTGTTTTTATAATAAAATCCATAAGCCCAGCAATATACAAATTTACCTGACCAACAGCACAATGATTTTTTTTGTGCTCTTTTCTGTGTTACATCGCCAGTAGATGGCCACAAGTGACTGTGTCTGTAATGAATCATTGAATCA